TAACCCGACATTGCCTGAAGCTCCAGCTGAAAAATCAAGGCTGTATCGTCACTGACAGAGCAGCCATCCTCCTGGGGCCTCCCCACCTGCAGGAGGATCAGTGAGAGGTTGGTGCCCTGTGAATTGGGTGCAGCTCTGACTGCTGCCCCCCCTGACCCAGAAATGGATTAAGGGGAAGAAGATGGATAGATGGATGGAATTCACCAACACAAAACAATCTGATTACACGTAATTAACATAAATTCAATTCTTATTATCACGCACAAAAATTCTGTTGTATGAACTGCTTAACCTTCTCTTTGCCTTATTTATGCCTCTCAAATCTAATTAGCAGGACTCCTACACCACGCCATCAGTAACGGCCGTAAACAACACACGCAAATGGTCAATTACTCCATATTGCTGCTGGACTTGCTAATGTTTATTGGCACACGGGATCCTCTCCTCACCACATTTAGTCCCAATGGCCCTAGCATACAATTTGTCGTCGGTGAGATGGGTTTTGACCCGGGATCCGAGCATAATGATTAAATATGTCGTTAAAACAACTCATGAGACGCATCATTGAGAGACGGGGGAGAGCGGGCGTCTGTTTAAAGCATGTGTCGGGCCATGTACATGCGCCGCAGTGGGGGGAAAATGACATAATGGGAGCGCGGGTGTCTTTTGTTGCGTCACTGACCAATTTCGATAGCTCAATTTTAGCTTTTTATGCTGTTATAAGAAGCCATTTACTGCACAAATGATGAGGAACAAACTAGGCTAGAAAAATATCCAGCCGTTTTTCACAATGTCATCCTGGTGCACACAGAAGTAAGAAGAAAAATAGGGTTGAAGAAATGGAAATCCATAAATTGACAGGGGAGAATATAGTTATAATTGTCAACGTTAAGTTTTTATGTAAAGGACAAATGGAATACTACATGGCTGGAGGGCAGAATTTGAAGAAATACTGTACAAGATTTATAATATTACAACATGACATTGACATTGTTAAGCTGTGAATTAGTCTGTTTATAAATTATACTGTTGTTTACCTTCTCGCCACATCATATGTATGACTTTTGATTGTAGGGGCTTTCTGTACGCTATTTAACACAGGCACAAAGAGTATTGAAGGGCGACAGTGGCTCAGTTGGTAGAGCATCGGCCTTTGGGCCTGAAGGTTGTGGGTTCGAGCCAACCTAAAAACCTACTTCGTGTCTCCCACTGACTACTGTAGTTGTGTCCTTGGGCAAGACACTTAACCCCACTTTGCCTGAAGCTCCCACTGAAAGATGGTGTACTGGGTGTACTGGGTGCAGCTCTGACTGCCACCCCCCTGACCCAGAAATGAATTAAGGGGAAGAGGATGGATGGATGGATGGACAAAGAGTATTGATGGTATAGATTTTGTTATTATATTTTTCAAACCAAGCAGGCTTTGTCTTTTTGTTTTCATGTTTGTTTTCATGTTTGTATACACCTGCAGGTTTGAAATAAATGAATAAATCAACAAATAAATATACACACTTAAAAAGTCACTCGCAATGTAATATGCTTTTTCAACCTCCCTGGCAGTCACATTAAACCATTCACCTGACTTATTAGACAATAATAATGGCAGGAAAATGAGTATCACACTGTTCTCAAAAGGTTTATAATCACCAATATTATTTTAATCATGTTACTTCTTCACAATAACCACAACACAACCATTCATGCCGTGAAATCCCTCAACCACAAAACATTTATTATTCCTTCTATAACTCCCCGTGAAGAACACTGGAAATCAAACGATTCATTATTTCACATCTCTTTTAGAAACACCATCCTGTGCATTCCATTGAAGTTTTATAATTCTGCTACACACACACACACACACACGCAAACACACACACATACACACGCACAGACTCTCACACGCGCCTACATACACATGCAAACACCCACACGCATGCACACACACATCACACAATGCTATTGGACACCTGAATTTCTCCTTCAGGGGATCAATAAAGTTTCTATCTATCTACATACACACACACATACACACATACACACGCACTCTCACAGGCGCCTACATACACATGCAAACACCCACACACACGCACACACACATCACACATTGCTATTGGACACCTGAATTTCTCCTTCAGGGGATCAATAAAGTTTCTATCTATCTACATACACACGCATACACATACACACACGCAAGCACACACACACACACACACAAGCACACACGCACATACAGTAAATATACACATACGCACATGCATACATCCAGTATATGTGTGTGTCTTGCTGCTCAGCCTCTCTTTCTCTGAGAACCATGTGTATAATGTGTCCTGCTTACATCCACACACATTTGAGACAAGTTTTTCACGATTTAACACTTCCTGGAGTTCTTAACATCTAATCAACACATTTTAACATTTGTTGACACTGCCTATTTGGAGCAGCCCACAGTCCGACAACATTGCTCCAAGAAAAGTAACATTGCTGTGTGGGTCAGCTGCAGAGGCAAGTTGAAGTCCATATCGATTATGAATATTTGAGTTGTAAAGTCTTGTATCTCTGTATAACTGTGTGTTTTCTGTGTTTGACATAAAGTATATTTGGCTCTAGGATAATACACATACTATGATATAAGATACAAGAGTTAGGGAAATACAATTTTTTACAATTATGCCCAAAACAGAGACCTTTAAAAGACAGTAGTGCAATATGAACACATTTACGAAAAACTAAATTCAGTGTTATACAGTAAAAGGAGACAAGTCGTGAATGACAACTTTGATATAAGATTTGACACACAAACTCAAACCCCAACGCTATGGATCCTTACCACAATTCACAATTAAAAACACCAAAAATAACAACGTTTTTTTGGGTCTTGTCTGTGTGAATGAGAGCGTGGGTTTGTGTGTGTGTGTGTGTGTGTCATTGACTGTTAGGTGTTTTGTTGGAGGAATGGATGGAAGGGGATTGAATTAATATACACTTTTTGCTTCGACCAATCCCTTTTCAAACCATGCACAGACTTATGTTCCTGTATCATGTTTGAAATATAGAAAACAAATGAATGTTTATTTTTTTTACAATTTCCTTTCTTTCTTCTTATCAGCGCTATCTGTCATATCATAGCAATGACAGATAGCCAGTGAAATGCTAAATGAATAAGGTCGTCATGACAAAATATGAATTTCCAATCTTCATGCATTTATTCATTCATTGATCCCTGCTGCATATTCCCATTATAAGGTTGTGGGGGTGTAACCGGCTATACATTACAATGCCACGGACAATTGATTGCTATATGCAAGTCTGATACTGACATTTATTCACAAGGGGCAACTCCGTATTCACCATTCGCCCACATCTTTGCTCCTATAGTGGGGCCAAGTCTGAGTATTCCCAAAAGAACCCACAGTCATACTTGCAGACGTGGAGGATTACCATACAATGCAGGCTCATTAAAACACATCTACGTCAGTTTGTGTGTCAGTGGAAGACATTGCACATTGTAAAACTATTTTCTGAGGCGATAATGAATACAGAGGATGCATCAATCTGGATTTTTCAAGTCCTATACAGATAATGATACTATGGCTTTAAATATTTCCCTGGATGCTGTACGGCAACCATTGTCCCTGATAGAGGCACTAGTGGCCTTTCAGGATGGGTCAAATGCAGGTCCCATCCAGGACAATTTTCCCTGTGGATATAATTAATCAATTTAAGTTTGCCGTTACCCGATATGAACTGATACCTGTGAATAGTATAAAAATAGCATTTTTCTCTCCTCAAGTTTCAGCAAAGTTGTTAGCGTCTGCAAAGAACTAAAGAATTACTTAGAGCTCCAATTTTGTTTCTCTATGGCATTATGGGTAAATATCAGCAGTAAGTCTTAAGACAAATGGCCTAAGTGGGATAGAACCGATATCATCAAACCGAAGCCTGATCCAGCAAAATATCCCATATCAACACCTACTGTATATCTGATACCAAAATTGTATTGATGCATCTCTAATAGAATAAATAAAATCCCAGCACCACTTATGTATTTTCCCATTGAAGCCCCTATTCGAGAAGTGGTATACAGTACACAAAAGGTTGAGCGACCAGAGAACTAAATTGGATCCAAAAGTGTGGTGCTGCCTCGCACTGGGCTAATGGTCTCACAGTAAAAACAATGGTCTGACCTTTTTAAAGCATTTACACATTGACGTTTCTTTTAAAAGTCAGCCAGCTTGTTAAATCGGGTACCTGTCATTGGCACTATAGACTGCAATGTCACTGAGGTGTAAGGGTCTTGGAAAAGCAGTGGATAAACTTCAGTGTTAGCAAAAGTGAGAGAAATTTGGCATATGTATTACTTCTATGCAGCCGTTAAAATACATCCAATTACTATTTTATGGCATTTTGAACTATTGAACACATCTGATTGGTGTGGAAAAATCGCCACCAAGTAAGACCACAGTTCAAACTTCAGCATGGCGAAGACAAGATACTGATCCCGCTGCGAGACGAGTATTTGAACACATACAGTCACATTCTCAGTGTAAGTATTGCACTACGATGCCATCAGCCTGAATCATTAACTTACCCAGCACTAGACCTTTACTCATACAATCTGCTGCTATATTCTGTGGAGGAGAATAAGATTCTCCACTGAGTCGAAAGAGAGAAACTGACAACTGAATGCACATGAGTCATGGTTTGTTTCTTTGAGAGCTCAAAGCCCCACAGATGACCAGGTGTCTTTTTGTGTTACTGTTAAAAGCTTGAAATGTAAAAAATATATAGGGCTGCTGGTGCTTCAGGGATCAGTGATGGGTAGGAGAATCATCCTGGCTGGAATTCTCATGTTAAGGGGTTTTCTTCAAGCGACACTATCCACTCTCCACTAAGAATTTACTTGTTTGTGTGGTGGCCTCTCATAGTCATTGCATATGTGTTATATTTAATTTATAGGGATGTCAATTGCTTATGAGTAAATACAGTTTTTAACTCACCATTGAGTTGATTGTAGACAACATCCTCCAGCCGCTCCAGCCGCTGTAGAATGGACTGTCTGTCTACCAAGTTGGAAACTTTGCCATTTCTTCCCCGTAGCCTCTGGTCCGTCAGCCTGCCCAACTGAACAAGCTCCTCGGATCGGTCCTGTATCCTGCAGTACACCGAGAACAGGATAATCCCAACAAAGACTAAAATATTCACAGTCAGTAAAGTTTTGATTTTGCGTGCCACAGCCATGAAAGAACAGATTGTTTGCCTGATCCCCGTCAAGCCCAGCAGCTGTCCGTGTGCGGTGGCCTGCTTTTACCACCTTAAACTCTGCGCTCGTCTCCAAGAGAAGGTCAACTCGCGGATGAGTCGTTCAGCACCGCGGACAGCTCCCCGTGACTGCACTAACTTAAAGCAGGGCAGGGGGGCATCGCATGAGAAGTTCAAGGTGTACTGAAGAGCTGGTGCCGCCGCGTTAAGCAAGGCTGTACGTGTGCGTGTGTGTGTGTGCGCGGGGCTTCAAACACGCTCCGAAGCCAACCCGCGCTACATATTACAACGAGCAGCTGATCTGTCTGTGGCACGTCAACCAGAATCCGCGCTGAACTGCTCTCGATGGCACTGGAGCGTCTTCTTCAGGAGCGGAGGCATTTCTGTGTGTTTTTTCCCTCTGCCTTCCCCGATGCTGCGATGGTCTGCAACTATAGGCAAAGGCAGGCGGCTTATGTCGGTGCTGCTCCACAAGCGATTTTTCTGTTTTCACCCGTCTCTCTCTGACCCGATATACCCGTCTTCGCTCGGTGTGTTGTCGTTTGCAGATCGTCCAGTGTCTGTGCGCCGAAAAGCAGCTTCGCGTGGAGAAAAGATGCCTATGCTGGGTGCCTGCGAGAGATGTGCCGCCTCCTCCTCCTCCTCCTCCTCCTCCTTCAGCCTCTCTAGCTCGCAGCAGTCTCTATCTCTCCCGCGCTCCTCTGCGTCCTGACGTTTACAGCCACAATCATGAATATTCACAGGCTTTACTATTGGGATCAAATAAGCAGTGCCACTCTTACACATGCACACACACGCACATACACACACACACACACACACACACACACACTAATTTCCGCTTGGCAGGACGTTACACTCCAGGTTTTGCGCGCGCATCGCTGTTTGGTGAACTGTAACATTGTATTATTTAGCAGTTTGGTCTCGGGTAAACACTTCCCATATTCTCCTGTGATGTCACAGCAAACCGGGGTAAATTTTGTGTTGGATACACAGCCCAAGTTTATGCGTGCGTTATGTAATTGCAGCATGCATGGTCAGCTTGTTCACAATCTTCATTTCTCCAATCATATGCTTGGGTAGCCTATCTGTGGAATTATGTTGGGATGGACAAACATGCCAAAGGAGAAGGAATAATTTCACTGAAGATAAACACATTAAAAAGGGACACATCCATAAACAAAGTTGTGCTGAAGGAAAGCTATGTCCCACTATCTGAGCAAACAAGCTTTTCCAATCATGATATTTACAATTTGAGCACCAAAATAAGAAAAGCCATTATACCGTAGGATACAAGAGTAAATAGCAATGCACAGTAACAAAAATAATAAAAAAAATCTCCCCATTTAACATCAGCTGTTAATCATTCAAAGGCTTTCAGAACTTACACTGCAGTTCATATTTCCCAAACGTGCATCAGAAAAGTTCCAGCTTATCTCATTTTCTTCTTATCTGTCTGTTTTGTATCACAGCATGTCTGTAAATGCGTTCTTTTACAGGCATTTGTTTCCTTTGTTTTTACGAAGAGTGGCCTCCAAAGATGACTCATCCTTTGTTCCTTGAGTGCTTCGGACCTCGTCTTACATCACAATTTTAATCTTTTAGTATTTCCTCCGAGATAAAACTAAACTACCCTTAATTATTAAACATCAAAGTCTGCACATGAGTCTCTGATAGCATGCTCGTTCTTGATTACAAAACAACTAAAGCATAATATTGATAATCAAGCTCATCATGTGTTTGCTACAGACTAGAAGAAAAAAAGATTGTATGCAAAATAAAAAAAATGTTGATGCTCTGAGTCCGAAAATGACCTTGGTTTTGCTCAATCAGGTCAGGATTTTTTGCTACAGAAATATTTTTTTAAATCAATTTTTCGTAAAAAACAAATTTCTGCGGATCATCAGCTGAGAAGCCCTCGACGTTTTTTCCATTTTCCTCAAGAAATAAAAGTCAACGTATCCAAAGTCATTCAGTTTTTATTTACTCCATCAAATTTGATAAGCAGAATTCATAATAACGTAGACGTACATAATCCGTAACACTATGGCTGTATCTCAAAAAGTTGACCTGATAGAGCAAAATGCATGTGATATTCGGACTCAGAACACCAACATTAGTCTAAATCAGTTGAGAAACCCCTGACCATTTTTGGGCTGTCAACTTGTGCAATCATCGCTCTATAATACCATATGTCGTTCCTTCTTAAGCCATATATCTTCAGCTTATCTCAGTATGCAGTGTTTAATTAAGCTTACTGTTCTGTGTTATCATCTGTGGAATTCTGGTCCATTACTCTTTATTGACTGTGAAGTATTGGCAGGAACTGCAACACGCTGCCAAATCCGGTGATCCAGAACATCTCTATGACATGTCCAGTGAGTATTTTCACGTAAAATGTTTTCTTTGACAAATCCTGGTTTTCCCTGTTCCAGGCAGATGGCAGACAGTATGTGCGGTGTCGTGTGTGAGCGTATTCCTGAGCGGGTGGGGCTCTGTACTAACCTTGCCTGCAAGCTGAATTCTCGCGGTATTTGTGAGTTCACAAACACTCGAGAATACATCTTGTCCCGCTCCCGCCAACCCTTTTCGAGTAGAACATCTAGGTGTTCAAGCCAATTACGCGCCAGTCTGGGGGTTTAGGGCAGGATATCCGGGTTTGACGAAAGCAAGAAGTGCCGGGCCGAAGCAAAACAAACATGGCTACGCAGGAGGACGGACGCGTAGCTGAGGCTATCAAGTCAGTTTTAGCAGAATCTCCAATTTCTTTTTTGAAAGATGAACAGCGAGAGGCGCTTTGTGCATTTCTGGACAGCAACCTTGGTAGGCGGGCACACAGCGTCACTTCGCCCAATCAGCTTGTATTCTGCTGCTTATCCTTTCCCCCGAAAGGATTCTCCTGCAGAAGTCCCAAATTGATATTGTGGATTCGAGTTCTACACAATCATCAATCTGGCTCTTGCCAGGTTAGCTCTGTACGGCACAAATATATTATGTACATGAGAACAAGTGCATTTTATTGATTAATTTTTGAGTGTGCAAAGATAATGTGATGCAATGATGAACCATCACCTCATGTTGCAACATAATACACAAAAAAGTTCTTGAAAGGCAAGCACACACACTCAACATGTCACTCATCTTCACCCATTGCACATGTTTGGGATAATAACAAAATTATTGTTGTATAGCCCTAAATCACAACAGAAGTCATCTCAGAAGACTTAACAAAACCATTGAAATCACCAACACAGATCAGAGAATCAACAGTTAAGACACAAACTATAAACATATGAAGTGGTCCATAGGGAGAGACCAATGTCCATCATGTTGATAAATGTCCATACATGTTGTAGAATGTTAAAGTGTCCTGGATCATCACCACAGTCCTTCTAGTTGGACACTAACTGCCCAACAGACCCTCCTGCATCGGCAAGGAAAAACTCACAAAAACCCAGTGGGAAAAAAGTGAGAAACCTCGGGGAGACCCACAGTTTGAGAAAGGGATCTGCTCCTCATGGACGGACGGATACAGTAGATCCAGGACCTACGCTACAGAACGAGGACCAATGCCACACAGCAGCCGCAGAACGTGGACAGTTCCTGTGCAGGACTGAAGCGCTCCCAGGCGGGTCGGGCAGGGCAGTCCGCAGGTGTAGATGGAGAGGGCCGGTTCAGAGGTCCCGTTGTCGCACCATGAAACAGACAATAGAATAACGGGTGAATAGCAATGAACATACTACAGCCAAAATCTTAATAACACAGACAGGTGCAGGACTGAAGCGCTCCCAGGCGGGTCGGGCAGGGCAGTCCGCAGGTGAAGGGATGTTCTGGATTGCTAGCTGCGACGGCACATTCCAGTTCCTGCCAATATCCAGCATCTTTACAGTACACAGTCATTGAGGAGGAGTGCATAGCAAGATTCCACCATCAACAACCTGATCAACAAAAACAAAACCCAACATCTTGGAGTGGTCTATTGTGGTCTGGCCAAGGCATAGCTGTTCAGTATTCAAGCTCAAGGAGATGGGATGGATTGCCCTTATAGTAAGAAGTGCTCACTGAAACACATTTAGACAGATGTGTGGACAATATTTGAGATGGTATAGAGTACATGTACAACAAACCAGAGTTGTATGTTATTATTATTTATTTATATAATCTACACAAAGAAAAAACCTAAAACAGGCAACAAGAAAAGAGACAAACGCAATCCAGTGCCTCCGGAGTTCAGAAGTGTGCCTAACTCGGCTCTGCACGTGAAAAGTAAAACATTCATAATCACAAATAAAGAGTCCTCAGAGCGATTCATGAACTTAAAAATAAAGTTTTGGATCACAGCATTCAGCATTATAGTATAGTTTTAAGTTGAACCCATTGAAAACTCGAGCCAAAACAAGTGCCGTGTTTACACATTTAAAAAAGATGAGAAAAGAGACAAGCTTGTAGCAAACCACTGCCATAAAACGCGTCATAGACCGTGCTCTTAAAACCCGAGTTGCATCGATCTTCTAAATGTAACAAACACCTACTCTTCATAGAAAATCACAATCACATTTGTCTAAGTAAATGGCCACGAACACAGTGTATAAGTGCCCTCTCTGCACCCAACATAACTCTCAGTGAAGTCCTCCAGCCTGTTCTGAGCATTAGGCAAAGCCGCGGGGCCTCTGCTGGCACTCCAGTGTTTTAACCATATTAACCTGGGACTCTGCCAGCTGCACCCGGACCCTCAATCAGAGCGCCCACGTAAGGAGCTCCAACACATTTAGGACAGCTGCTGGAACAAGCTTGTGAATACTGATACTGCTGCATGGATTTAATTAGAGCTTTTATAGCTATAAAATAAAATTAACGTTTGCAGAGAAGAGATAACATGGATGAAACGCATTAGGATGTTAGGAAATTTGCAAGAAAGAATGAGCTTGGAATACTTACTTTTGTTACAATTTTTAAGATTTAAAGTAGCATTATGTAAGATTTTCATGTCAAGTCATCATTAAATGGTCCTAAAATGTCAAAAAGCATCAATAAACCATGCTCTATTTGAATACTTCTTTAACTGATAACAGTAGTTCAGCCGAGATATTGGAATTTCAAATTGTTTTCATTTGGATGTCCCGCCCTCCACCTTTTTACCAATCAGAAAGTCTATGATTCGGATTGCCAGAACTCAGTAAGTAAGTAATGTTTATTTATATAGCGTATTTTACAGACCAAGGTCACCCAAAGCGCTTTACAATGTTCAGAGTTCAGATATTGTTCCAATCATTCCACACACGGTGATGACAGAAGCGAGTCTCTGAACACACTGGACCATCAGCTCCAATCAACACCATCCATTCACTCTCTCATTTACATTCATACCTATTGTGCAAGTTGACACAGGGAGAACATACAAACTCCACTCAAAAAGGCCCTGCTCCGACCGGGATTCAAACCCAGGACTTTCTTGCTGAGAAGCGAGAGTGCTAACCACTCAACCACCGTGCTGCCCATTAACAACAAAACAAGCAATAAAACGAGAATTTCTATCGGGGCCTTTGTGAAAAAAGGTGTTTGTTCGGATTTGTTGTTGACGAAACTCTTGTGTATCCAGTTATTATTATAGATCCATGTTCCAGCCGGATTCGTCTGCATATCTGGCAACCTGAGTCAGGGAGTGTGGGAGAGGTTGCTGTACCGATTTTAGCCAGATGTTTACATACTGCTCCTTTAAAATTGGGTGGCCGTTCAATTCAGTCCGTTTGAGCATAGCCTATACATTTATAAGTTCATATGTATTTCTGTTCTTGGACTGGAGTGGCTTTTGTAATGGGTGTCATCCACCGATGCTCTTGTAAAATGTCACCATATTTATTTGGGCTTTGTTGTGATAA